CTTCACACAGTGACCCACCCTCGCCCTCACCTTTGGTTACGCATTTTTAATTCTGATTTAAACTGGTTTTTCTATAGCTGGGTTAGTCTGAAGTCTCCTAAAAGGATGTTTGGTTCTTGCATAGATTGTTGTTCCTTCACGGCATGTACTTTCACAGGCGGAATCGGTATGCCACTGACATTTCCACTACAGTAGATTTATAATTGCGTGATGAAAGGGTTTAAGTTCGGTGCATTACTGCATTTGGGGGTATCCATTTTATTGGCATAATAATTATGATGATGATTGCCTGACCAAATAGCTAATGATGTGCTCCAACTCTCATTGTCTAAAAAATTAGTCACTGAGATATGAACCTTCAAAAATGCTCATTTTTGCTTCCTACCATGTTACTTCCTTTCAGTAAGTAAATGAAAGCTAATGATAAGTTAGTGCTATACATTACTAGGCAATAGGCATGAGAAAATAACAAGCGTAACAGTGTAAAAAATATTCCTATAATTGATTTCACCACCTTGCATGCATAGCTGGGCACTTATTAAGACTTATGAAGATTCTCTCTACCTTCTAATGCTTCTAGAGAAGTCTTTCAACAGTATCTCTATGTTCTCTTGCTGTTAGAAAGCTGTTAACTTTGTCCCATGTGTAAGCCGCCATTTTGTTTGCCGTGACCACGCCCACTCACGTAAAGCGGGCGTGGGAGGGTGGTGCTATATTGTCGGGTGGCGTGGTGGGGCAATGCGGTAACTTGCCTGTACCGTAGGAGATAAACACAAAAAGGCTACTGCTGTTGCTGTGTAAACTAGACACAGACCAATGAATTATAGTTTCATAATAGCTGATTTAAATGAGAAGGATTTGTCTATGTCCATAGCAGCTGTTTTAAAATTCTATTTGAAGTGTTATAAGCATTTGAGTAAAAATCCAATTTGAGAGGCATGCCATGAGAAGTTAAATAAACTTTTATACTGACCTAAAATTTATCTTACTTATCTTAGTTTATACAAGAAAACATGTAATTATCATAGGTATAGGAAGCTATTGAAAAGGGGGGGCAGGCACCGCACACAGTTGACAATGATACATGCAATTTCTCACAATAAAATTTAAATATTTCTTTCTAACTTGAATTAGTTCAGCTGGTAGCTAACCATGCATTTAAGGGAAATTAAAATTGACTTGAATGACTTGGTGGCGTTGGTGCATTATCATTATGAAATGCTTATTGGTATATATGCTTTGAGTTGAAATGGTGTAATCTTCAAAAAAGCCAGTGAAGTAAAAGTGGGGGGGGGCATAGCCCCCATGTCAATAAAAGTGGGGGGGGGGGCAGTTGCCTCCCCCCCTATTCCTACACCCCTGATTATACAATCACTTGAGATAGCGCACATTGAAGCAAATTGTGCATCAGTTTATGGATTGGAATGATTCAAAAACAGTCCTCCTGGCCCACTAGCCCACTGTTACAACTTACAATACAATAACCAATGAATATAATTATGGTTGCACGGGCAAAGCCCGCAAATATAATTATGGTTGCACAGGTCTTTGCCTGTGCTTGCCTGTGAAGGGACTGACTTCCCTAAGTAACCTAACAACAACTAAGTGGCCTAGCCTTGATGAATTCAAGTTATTATTTTTATTCATTATAAAGATATGCACTGTTCAATAATGGTAGTCATGTAAAGCCTGCCATCCACTATTCAACTTTGTTGAAAGATCAAAATAACCACAAAGTTGCTTTGAACAAGTGGAATAGCGGATGATGGGCTTTAATAGTACTATTTTTGAAAATATTACATTATATTTTTTCTTTATTCAGTTCTATCGATCCTCCTTGGTTTTACTATTTCTCTTCTCCTTTGGGTTCACCTTAGATCTGAGACTAAGGTTCCTCAAGAGTGGTTCACTAACGCTCTTGCAAAAAGTGAGACCCAGAAAAGAATCAAACAGTTGACTAAGTCTTGGAATAAGTTTCAGAAAAAAATCCAACAGCTGGCTAAGGCTCAGAATAAGGCTCAGAAAAAAATTAAACAGTTGACAAAGGTTCGGAATAAGGCTCAGAAAAGAATCAATCAGTTGACTAAGGCTCGAAATAAGGCTCATAGAAAACTTAAACAGTTAACTAAGGCTCGGAACAAGGCTCAGAAAAAAATCAAACAGTTGACTAAGGCTCTTACAGAAAATCAGAAGGCCAATCAAGAAAATCAGAAAGAAATTGAACGGTTGAATAAGGCCCTTACAGAAAATCATAAGGCTTATAATGAAAGTTGGGAAATAATTGAACAGTTAAATGATGCCAAGACTATTGCCTTAAAGGAAGAACTACAAGATGAAAGAAAATCTCATGCGTCAGAAAAACGCAAAGCCATCTTACTTACAGAGCAGCTTCGTTATGCTAAATCTTGCTATGAAGGACATCTTCAAGAACAAACTGAAGAAAAGGAAAAAATGAAAAAGGAAATTCAATTGTTAAAAGAAACCATTAATGCTTTGGAACAAGAAGTTGAACCGCAACCAAAGAAATGTATTCAACTTCAAGATGCTGAGGTACAAGAAAACGATGTGATCAATAACGAACCATATGCATACCAGTAAGTGATATGTAATTTTGAAAAAATAATTGCTTATTATTATGTTAGGGATACTTACTCTTATGACTATTCAGTAACAGGTTTGTATATAAGTAATGTAAACTTTTAAATGATGATTTCATTTTTCATTTTAGATTTTGATAGCAGGATTCCATATGACAGCAACAATAATGATTATAGTAAATAAACTGTCACAGAAATAATCATTTTGATTAATAATATTTTTTAGGTCTTGATAACGTAGTTACCTAATGGAAGCCTGTAACAAAAATGAAAAAAAATTTTGCCCCAAAAAAAGAAGTGTTCAGCGCCGCTTCATCTACAGAGCACTAATGAAACTGCATATATCTGTATAACTGAACACCAAACACGAAATCATACTTTTTGGTGATACACCAGCTATTATTATTATAGCTGGTAAGACATTCCACGATGCATGCATGACTTGTACAGAACCTGTACAAGTCACGCATGTATGTCTTACCAGCTATAATAATTACCAAAAAGTATGTTATCATGTTTCCTGTATTTATAAAAAGTTGTATAAAATATATGCTTTTTTATTGGTACTCTTTGCTATGTGCTATAAACGTATTGCTATAAATGTATTTCTTGTTATTATTATTATTATTATTATTATTATTGCCTTTTTGTGTATTATTTAAGCAAATTTTTAATAAAAATGGTTATCTTATTGTTTCTTTTACACCTTTTAAAATAAAGTACATATATCAATGAACATTTATTTTGCTAATCCAATAGTTTTTAATGATTATGTGAATGTCACAATGAAAATTAAACTAGAATAAAATCCAACTACACATAAAATTATGGTAAATAGAGTATAATAATTCATAACATAATTAACATTAGAAATAGATCTACACTTTCCAAAGACATAATTGTAGTTCATATAATTATAGTGTCAGCGAGTGTAAGTCATAATAATAATAATAATAATTAATAATTAGTTTGTTTTCTTTTCTTTTGAAGTCCCTGCTATATTAACTGCCTGCTCTAGGCCTCTCTGTAATAATTTCATATAAATCGGTTGTAAAGCCTATGAATAAAAGAAGCAGAATCATAATACATGCACAAGTAAATTCTCAGCAACACGACATGTATATATAAACACTAATTCTCATGCTGAGAAAAAGTTGAGTAACAGACAAAACCCACTTATGCACATTTTTAATTTCTAATACACAGTATGCACATGTACACACAATCACTCAATGTACAAACAGTGCTACCCACTTGATCCCATATAGCTGAAGTAAAGTTATCAATGATGGTTCCTACGCTCCTCAACTGTCCAGTGTACCTCACATAGACCCATAGCCCGACCAGCAGGAGTGGTATGTACAGACCCAGTACAGCAGTCTGTGAGAGGCTCTCTATGCCAAACATATCCAATATGGTGGAGAGGATGTAAGAGAGGACCATTACAAGACAAAGGACAGCTGGTGTCCTGTATGCATTCATCAGTTGCTTGCTCTCGTTACGTTTGACAAAGTTCTCGTATGCCTCGTCAATCATTATCTCTAGTTTCTTCATGTATTCAGCACTGAAGACATCCCCACCCATCTTGGGCGTCTCGAAAAACTGTTCCAGGCAGAGCATTCGGAGGGACTTGTGTTCCTCTTCGAGTTTCTGAGGAGCTAAGTAAGGTTTATCAGCACCACACAACTACAATGTAGCATAAGAAGATTAGAAAAAGAAAAAAACAAGTAACAGGTGGAGTAAGTATGTGGACATTTTCCTAAGCAATAGAACATGCTCTTACTTCTTCCATTTCTTTGTTATACTTGTCAATGGCAGCTGCTTGTGCTGTTAGATTGTTAGCCTCAGCCGTTGCCTCTAGCATTGACTTTGGCTCAGGAAGTGATTCACTCTCAAATATTTTAATATAAGCCTGCAGGGTACAATAGTGATTGATCGTTCCTTATATCAAGATTACCTTAAAACATTCAAGGAGGCCTCGGCCAGTTATTATGTTTCCGTTTATTTTTTTGACGACTAAATTTTTAGATTGTAGTAAGAAGGGAACAAGCTCGAAAAGGAATTTTTTAAATTCGCTATCAATGTCTAGAAAAAAATATTTTACACATAAAAATTAATTTATCATTCTCCTCCATTTTCTTTCTCTCTCTCTCTATCTAACCTGATAGTCTTCCATCGAAATGAGGGTTGGTTGCTACTTTAAGGCCAGGATGAGGCATCAGGTAGCACGATATTGAATCAAAGCAGTAAGAAATGTGCTTGCGTACTAGTTTAATCTCCTCGTGCTGAGTCTCTGACACCTACAGGCATGAAGTCAAAAGTAATTGATACTAGAACTAGATAGTACTATTACATTTTAAGCAACTTTAAAAATTCATAAAAAATCCAATTTTGATCGGAATCCACTCAAACTTTCTACACAGCATAAGAACATGTATATGCATCAGAAAAAATTATAAAAATGGAAAATTCTCTCGTAGTCAATTTTGGCAAAATTTGGCCAGCAACCCTGTACTATAGTACAGGGACTTTGGCCCGATTTTGGAGTAACTTTAAAAGCTCATAAAAAATCCAATTTTGATCGGAATCAGCTCAAACTTTCTACACAGCATAAGTACATGCATATGCATCAGAAAAAAATTATAAAAATGGAGAATTCTCTCCTAGTCATTTTTGATGTACTACAGCCCACAAGAGAAACTTACAGTGAGTACTTTGTCTAAATATTTTCTTCCACCTTCTTCACCGTAAAAATGATCATAAGGATAACTCCAGTCACGTACCAAAAAACACAATGACTAAACAGAAAATAAAACAAATCAACATTATATAGTACTAATGATACATAGGTATACACTAGTATATACATGCAGTTTCAAATCATTATACTGTAGGTGCTATTATTACTTGAAAAGGTTTGAATTTGCTTTGTTTGAGTGCCAGTCTCCCATACTCTGTAAATAACTGTACAATGAGAAAAAGGATAATATTAACAATACAAGAAACAGAAGAGAAAAAAGGAGGATGACGAGGAAATGCATTAGCTAAAATGAGAGTCGGAGTATTGATTTTTGTTGCATGTACTAACATGAAGGTGCTGAAGATCATTCTCTTGTATCATCATTGACAAATTATAAACCTAATAATAATAATAATAATAATAATAATAATAATAATAATAATAATAATAATAATAATAATAATAATAATAATAATAATAATAAAGGAAGAAGAAAAAGAAAAAGAAGAATACATGCAATAATGTCAAACACATAATCCCTTCTCTCCTTTCCTCTACCTGGACGGATGATATCATTGTACTAAGTGCAAAAATGGTGGCACAGTCCTTTACTGTTGACTGGTTGTCAAAAGCTCCTTGAGTATCCATTATTAATACACAGACCTACAAGATACTGGTATAAAACATAGCATGTGCATATACATGTACACATGCACTATTAATCCTGTAAGAGCATTCATTGGACAACAAAATTATACACTTAGGTCACAGCCAAGACTAACAAGTAAATATAAAATTTACATGTGATACAATTATTAGTACTAATCTACAATCTTTCATTCCCATTTCCTTAATGTTGTTATCATATACATTGTACATGCATTGGATTGGACAAACCTCCTCTCCTGATTCTAGAGTAGCAGGGAATGCCTCGCTCCACATTAATATCCCAGTGGTGTTCCTCTCTACTCCTCCTCTCCACGAAAAGCCAGTCAATGGTTCATCATCCTCTCCCATCCAGTCATTCCTGCTAGTCTCTCTGGATCCTTTCTATTGAAATAAAGGGAGACACACTCATTATACTGGAGCTATGCCTTGCACATTGTGCAGTATAGCTCTAAGTACTGTACTCTTGTTACATGTATTTCATGGTGAATGACACATAGCATTATTATTGATACGAATATTAGGATTTATAATTGAAGCTATGAATTAAAAATAAACAGAGTCCATTGCCAATGATGATAAGAAAACAGCAAAAAATACATTACATACATGTACATACTGTACTACTAAAGTATATGTAACTGTAAATGATATCGTAATATCATATCAACATAACATTGATATTACTGTGAGCATACATTATCATTATAGTGCTTACCTTATGACCAAGATAGCGAAGGAAGAAATCCAACAAGAACGATTTCCCTTTTCTAAAAGCTCCGGCGACCGAGAGAACTACCACAGGTTTGTCTCTCACTTCATCATCACACAATATGTCCTCCAGAGCCTCGATATTCAACTTAAACTTATGATCATCCTCAGGTATTATAATCTCAATTGGTCTTGGCCTGTCATCAACCATATCTTCTCCTACACAATATTTAAATCTCAATTATCATGATATGCACAACTACTGTATAAATCATTGTTTGTTGCTAAGGGCCGGGCATGGTAACCAGTGTACCCATACAAATTATCCTTTCATTCATAAAATACATGCAGGATAGTAAAATAGTAGCTAAACTATTGCTAAAAGCTGCATATTAGTTCACTAGAGTCTGTACTTACAATAACAATAAGAGTACCTCCCATATTTACCTTCCCTCTCGTTTCTTAGCTCCTGTACGCTCATAGCAACGGCTCAGCTACCTTACTCCTTAAAGAATAATCTATATCCGCTACCTGTCCCTTTGAGCAGGTTCCTTGTGTAGAAAAATCCAGCAAGAGCTGAGTAAAGCAGTGATAATGTGAGAGAGGTATAATGGTGTAGTCACGTGCATACAGCCTCATGTCACATGATATTTCTTGTAGGAGGAGCAATATCAACAGAGATTAGATTTAGATCTGATTTTGATACAGTAGAGTAGAGTGAGAGGAGGGTCTGCTGCTCATCATAATGTCTGAGTCTTATGGTAAGACAGTGAGGGCCAGGGAGGGCTTTAGAGCAAAATATCTTGGTACCTACTCTTTCTCTCTCCTCCTTTCTTTTTGTTTGTAGATTATTTGTTCAAGTTCTTAGTCATTGGCAATGCTGGTGTTGGCAAGTCCTGTCTTTTACATCAGTTCATTGAACACAAGTGTAAGAGAGAAAGAGAGGGAGGGAAAGGAAGAAGTACCACCCATCTACATGTACATATACATGTATAACCTAATTATGTCTACTTGTAACAAGGGGAGATAATTCTCACATGTTGTTGCCCCTTAGCTTTCGTCACAATGTCAATATGTATTATGTGTATATACATGCACTAGTAATTTTTACACTTGTTCTATATAATAAACCCATTAGCAACGTGTAATCCCCCTTCTACTACCATATTTACTCTATTTAACAGTCAAGCAAGATTCCAATCACACCATTGGTGTAGAATTTGGATCCAAAGTCGTGTCATTGGCTAACAAGTCAGTAAAGCTTCAGGTGTGGGATACAGCTGGCCAGGAGAGATTTCGTTCAGTAACAAGGAGCTATTACAGAGGAGCAGCTGGGGCCCTTTTAGTATACGATATATCAAGGTAAGACTGGGAGTGATTGTGTAAGATGTGGTTATCATAATGTTAGCCATGTAATAGTATCATTTATATTATCATTCCATTGTAATGAGAGAGTGAGAGAGGACACTGAACTTTTGTCCTTTGGGTTTTTTTTTACCAGGAACTGTGTTAGTAAATTACTTCCTTTCTTCATGTTGTGTTTTTGTGTTTGTTTTCTCTCACTCTACCACTCCCTCCTTCCCTCCTTTTGTTTTTTAAATCTTTTATTCTTTTTCTCTCTCCCTCTTCTTTTATCTTCTATTGAGTAAAGTAGGCTATTATTATTTTTTTATTATCCTTTTTTTTTAGTCGTGAGACTTATAATGCTCTTACTAACTGGCTGACTGACGCCCGCACTCTTGCGAGTCCAAATATTGTGATAGTTCTAGTTGGGAATAAGAAAGATCTGGAAAGTGACAGGGAAGTGACTTTTATGGAAGCAAGCAGATTCGCTCAAGAAAACGGTACACACACACACTTAATGTTCAATAATACCGTAGTGCATCTTTTTTCTGCGCCTGCCATCTTGTACTGTATTAATTTAATTTTTGTGGAAGTTTTTTTGCAAATCTTTAAAGAATTGTGAAATCCACGAAATTTACAGCCCTCGAAAAAAGGCGCCCTATGGTAATTCTTTTATTTGCATTGCTATTTTACTGTTGCTGCTCTTTGTTGTTTTTCTTGTGTCTTTTTTAGCTTTCTCTTTGACTCTTTCCTCTTTTTTAGAACTTGCATTTCTTGAGACAAGTGCTCTGACAGGTGAGAATGTGGAGGAGGTCTTTCAGAAGTGCACCAGATCTATACTCACAAAGATTGATGCAGGTATGATAACTTTGATATTGATACTGATATTGATATTGATGTGATACTGATTTATGATGACATTATTACAATCAGGTGAGCTTGATCCTGATAGAGTTGGCTCAGGTATACAGTATGGTAATGCAACTGTGAGGAGAGTCACTCAACCAGGACAGAAAGAGGGCGGGAATAAAGAAAAATGCAGCTGCTAGTGACAATCATGCACACTGTTATTATTATTATTATTATTATTATTATTATTATTATTATTATTATTATTATTATGTGCTCTATCTTTGTCAATGTTTTAGATTGTGTATTGCATTCTCTTTTAAGTGTTGATTAATCCCTCCCTCCCTCTCTCTCTCTCTTTCTGTTTCTCTCTCACACACACAAACACGGCATGTTTGTAATAATAATTAATTTAATTTTGTCATTTTATTACTGTTGTTTATTGAGTGTTTGAAATAATAAATTAAGAGCAAAACACCGTTGGTTCATTGTCCTTGCCAACATAAAAAACTAAATTATTTTTTAAATTGACTCACAGTACCCTTTACCCTTAAAGTTATAAGTAGACTACTATACTATATCCCAGTTCAGTTTGGGACGGAAGTGGAAGCAGCTGCGTGGAATTTGAAAAATGTAGCTACGTCACAATATGACGTAAATAATGATATAGTATATATATAGTATATATATATATATATATATATATATATATATATATATATATATATATATATAGTATATATAGTAATTTTATGATGACTTTGGATCATTAGATGTAAATAATTACCACTTGATTCACAGCTCTTTTTTTGCTTCAGACTCCTGAAGAACTTGTTTAGTACAGCAGGTCCACTGGAGGTTGTACTGTAGTACAGTGTACACTGTATGCTGTTTGGACATTTTATAAGTAATAGAATTTTATGGTTCACTTAAGTTACAAATTATTATTGTGAATTTGTGATATCATTTTATTTATTTATTTATTTTATTGCATAGGTTGAGTAGTGGTGGACCAGAACTCTTAGTCTATCAAAAAAAGACCGTGTCTTACAGCAACTCTGTTAGTGATAATGTGGTAGCAAAAAATGCTCATAACTTGAAAAATATTTGTCGGAATCAGCTCAAACTTTCTACATAGCATAAGTACATCAATATGTATCAAAAAATGTAATAAAAATTTGGGGTGATTTTGGAGCCATTTTTTAGAAAAAACCATGGGCTAGCCTTGGGTATTTTTCAAAAATTTGCCTTTTTAAAAAATGCTAATAACTTTTAAAATATTTGTCAGAAACAACTCAAACTTTCTACACAGCATAAGTAAATCAATATGTATTAGAAAATGTAATAAAAATTTGGGGTGATTTTGGAGCCATTTTTTGGAAAAAACCATGGGCTTATAGCCTTGGGTATTTTTCAAAAATTTGCCGTTTTTTAAAAATGCTCATAACTCAAAAAAAATTTGTCAGAAACAACTCAAACTTTCTACACAGCATAAGTACATCAATATGTATCAAAAAATTTAATAAAAATTTGGGGTGATTTCGGAGCCATTTTTTGAAAAAAACCATGATTTATTTTTTTTAATTTTTCCATTTTTAAAAAAATGCTCATAACTTGAAAAATATTTGTGGAATCAGCTCAAACTTTTTATACAGCATAAGTACATCAATATGTATCAAAAAATGTAATAAAAAATTTGGGGTGATTTTGTAGCCATTGTTTAGAAAAAACCATGGGCTATATAGCCTTGGGTATTTTTCAAAAATTTGTCGTTTTTAAAAATGCTCATAACTCAAAAAATATTTGTCAGAAACAACTCAAACTTTCTACACAGCATAAGTACATCAATATGTATCAAAAAATGTAATAAAAATTTGGAGTGATTTTGGAGCCATTAAAAAAAACCATGGGCTATAGCCTTGGGTATTTTTCAAAAATTTTCCGTTTTTTTTAAATGCTCATAACTCAAAAAATATTTGTCAGAAATAACTCAAACTTTCTACACAGCATAAGTACATCAATATGTATGAAAAAATGTAATAAAAATTTGAGGTGATTTTGGAGCCATATTTTTTTGAAAAAAATCATGGGCAGTTTTAAAAAAAATGCTATAGCCTTTGCTTTTTTTTCAAAAACTTACTACTTTTAAAAATGGCTGTGACTTGAAAACTTTTTGTTAAAATCAGCTTATTATCAGTAATGCATCATTATATTAGGTTGAGGACTTGAACTATTGTCTGAAGAATCTGTCATTTATAATTTCCTCTTCTCATTCATGGCATACAAGAACAGTTTTGAATTAATGATATTCCATTAATTAATAGATATATAGGCAGACATGTATGGGCTCCGCTCCTGATACAGGAGAAATTATTTTATTTAAAAATTCAACATAATTATACATGTACATGAACATGACTAATATAAAAAAGATTTAAAAGAGAGAGAGAGGAAAGGAGAGATTGAGTGCAGAAATAGACAGGAAAACTGAGTACAACACATTGTAGATAAATAAAAACAAAACGAGACAAAACTTTTTAAAAAAAGAACAAGAATTAATAAAAGTGGAAAAACCGACTGAACAAATGAATCATAGAACAAACTATTATCATGTTATTATTATTATTATTATCATTGTTATTATATCATGCTATTAAAGTGTTTTTTCTTCATCTCCAGGTGTAAGTGGATCGCCGAATACCTCAGGCAGTTGACTGCAGCTGTTGGTTAGACCTCTTAGCCCTCCATTCTTATTATTAGACTCATCACCATCAATCTCATTCACTGCTTCAGGCACACTCATTAATCGAACCTGAATACAATTAAAATAATAATAATAATAATTTGATCTAGAAATAATTTTTAGGGAGTAGTTAAACTAAAAATGTGCAATTTAAAGACACCTAGGCTAAACATAAGAGACCAAAAGCTAAAAAAAATTTGAGATTTCAGAAGATCTAGACAAAACATGAGGAGGGACCAAAAGTCTACTAAACTCCCTCTAACAGTGATAATAATAATAATTACAGTATCGCAGCAGAAAGCAATGAAAATCTTAGTAATGTGTTTTAAAGCATGGGATCATTTTTTAAAGTTAGAATTATTCTGTCATCATCCCACTTTTGTCTCAGCTTACACTATTTTCTCTTAGTATCTTCTTCAGTGTCCCGACTTCTCTTTGAAGAGATACAATTTTCTCGGAGTCCTGACGATGTATTTGCGATTGTATGCCACTGCTTGATTTGATGGTGGTCGGCTCAAACACATTCTCTCCAGTGGGATCTTTATATAATGACCACATCTATTAATAATAATAATAATAATAATAATATTAATATTAATAATAATGATAATAATAATAACAATAATAATAATGATGATAACAAAAATAACGACCAATATCTAAGAGAGTGAAATTAAACTTTTGCACAAATGGGAATTCAGTACAGGGACTTTGGCCTGATTTTTGAGTAACTTTAAAAATTTGTAAAAACCAATTGTGATCAGAATTAGCTCAAACTTTCTACACAACATAAAAACATGTATATGCATCAGAAAAAATTATAAAAATGGAGAATTCTCTCCTAATCCTTTTGGCAAAATACTCCATGCATGTACCACAGTACAGTATTTTGTCTCATTTAAGAAATTCATTAGAAGCTGAACATTATGCCACAATCATGTGGAAAACCCTGACAATATCACAGTATATAAATAAAGCAGGCTTTACCTTTGGTAAGAACATCAATGTGACGGTACTAGTGGTTCCTATGAGAGCAGCTGTTAGGTACAATCCTTCAGATATATTAGTGAACTCTGAGAGTACAGTAACAATGATGATAACGCTAACAGAGCAAGCAGTTACTATATACACAATGGCAACCACTTCTTTGGAATCGTTGACTGCTTCAACTTTCACTCCGCGAGTCTTTGCAGCCAATACAACAGCAATAGCCTCCAGGATGAGTATGTAGATATAGATCACAAATATCCATACTAACGAGGCAGCATGATAACAATTGACACCTTGGTATATAACTTTAATACCATCCTCCTGTGTGAGAGAAGGGAGAGAGTGAAAATCACATGATTTTACGTATTACTAATGTGTTCATTTATTTATTTATTTATTATCATTATTTTATTTATTTATTATTATTATTTCACTCACGTTAATGATGGGAGGAGACTCAGGATCTTCAGAATAAGATACTTCGGGTCTAGTGAAGGGTATGGCTGTACCAAGAAACAATATGAAAATGAGAATACCCTCCAGTATAAAAACAAAAAAGAACAGATGCCAATCGGTCAATACCTACAGTTAGAAATTATGAATAAAATGAATATAATTTATTACATCACCACTGATACCAGCTACATGTATGTACAATGCATATATGCAGCAGCAGATGCAATAGATGAACATTTGTCTTACTTTCTTATTTGCTCTTGGATTACGGAATATTCTGTATATTCTGAACATTTTTGCAAGCATTGGTGCAAAGATAGAAGTAATGCCAAGAGATAACATCCATATGTTAGCCTATAACAAGAGAGGGAATTGATAAGAAAATTTATAATACTTAAATAAAATTGTTTGACTCTTCAACTACTATAAGTTTATTTTATAAATAATTAACTCACAATGCAGACAAAAAGAGAAACGGTCTCAGCGTTGGATGGCTGGAGCGTGACGAATGGAAGAGAGTAGAGGATAATGGCACCGGCAATGATAAAATAATTAAGATTAGGACTGGTAAGACGAATAATCCTAAAAAGACACACAAGAATTAAAACAGATCTTGAGAAGCATAATCTAACATAATGTAGTAAATTTACTAAATTTAGCAGCTGTTATCAGTTACAACGAGGCATTCAAACTAACTTTCTGTTCCTGAAGATAATGTTGAATATAAGGCAGATGACGGTAAATATTATACCGACCGATGACCATAGGTACATAACGATGACGAGGATGATAGAGAATGAGCTGAATTCGTATATTGGAGTGCCGTCAGGAGGGACGCCATCTATTTGAAGGAGGAGAAAGAGAAGGGAGGAGTGAAGCAAGAAATAAAAAAAATACATATATAATAAATATTCATACATACATACATACATGTACATGCATACATACATTATATTGTACATGCATTATTAGTGCCATTTCTTGTAGTGCAATATTATGCAGTGCATCTTACCAGGCCAAACTGTAGAATTGCTCTCATTCGAAAAATAATTAAACAAAGACTCCGAGACATTAACTGTAGCAAATGGCTCTACTTGTAGCTGACCGCCATCTAAGGACAAAAATACATTAATAGCTATTCTTACTAGAGCATTGACTAAAGACAGAGAGGAAGGAGAGCCAGACATTATGGAGGGAGTAAGTGTGAGGGATGAAGTGTAGCACTCATACCATAACTGCATGTACAGCATTTATAAGTACATGCACATTAACATTCCATTACCATCCCAAGCCACAAAATGTCTGGCATCTCTCATTAAAACACACCCAATTACAATAAACTCACAAATATATGCACACACACACACGCACACACACACGCACACGCACACACATTAATTACAAGCAGGCATTAAGACATTAGGCAAGTGCATTTTAGACTAAACAATTGATAATTTAAAAGTATCAAAGATAAAATGTTTGTTTGTGAAGATTATGTATGCAAATGTCTCAGTTAAACTTAGTTAACACATGCTTGCAGTTGCATATTGGCTGAAGTTAACATTAGTTTATAAATTTAAATTGCAAAGCAATTACAAAGAACATTGTATGGTATCTACATGTTCATTAGTACTTATAATTTTTAATTTTCTTCAATGCGCTATCTAACTGTACAAGACACGATAGCCTTTGAAGGCTAACTTGCTACTAATGCAACAGTGACTGCAATAGAAAATATAATTAATAATAATAAACTAATATTGTCCACACACACGCACAGACACAAACAAGGAAATGAGACACAAACAATTAAGAGGAGCAAATATCATTGCTGCCACATACTTTACCAGATCATCAAACAAGTAATTTAGTTTAAACTAATAATACCAAGAATGACCTTACATGTTTATCAACGGCACTATAGACTCAAATAGGCAATCAGGTGTTGAGGCTACATGTACAATCAAGTAATTACAGGTACAAATAAAGTTTAAATTACATGTATACATGTACATGTATAGCAGGCCCTAGATTATAGCAAACCCGAATTAGGATAACTAATAATAATTATATTATATTTACATGCATACAAGCAATTATTAACAGTTCAGCTGTCCCCTTGGATTGTAATTAATAGATACTAGGAAAAGGCTACAGACAGGACATAAACATAAGCAACACTTGCATGTATATATCCGTAGAAACATCAATATCTACATGTACATGTATAATATAAATGCATAATATTTTAAAATAACTATTACTATTATTATTATTACTACGGACTAGTCGACACTATAAACATAGGTAATGTATACAATATAGCAGTTTTTAATAAAATCAACAGAGAAATAGGAAGTGGATATAGCAAACTGACAGACACAGAATTAAGCAAGAAAATGGCTTCAGTTTACCAAGACACAATTTTCAGTAATTAAAGAAAGAGATAGTGCAGTCAGTACATTATTTACATGGACCAGGTATGTCCCATTTATTGCTACGAATTACCATTTTAGGAGAGGCAAGGGGAACATAGTGCCCACCACATTACATGTTTATTATTGGCTGGGATCATGTAGAAACCAACCAACTGAGCTGATACACTCTGTATATAAGGAATATTTGTAATTAGTGTTTGTTAGTGTCCTAATTCTGTCTGAGTGTGTAGTGATTTTCAACTGATAATACAAGTATGGCATTTGTGGTTTATAAACTCCATTACCTCATCACATGTACACATGTACATGTACATGCATTACGCTGCTAGCGCTGTAGAAGTACATGCATGTGGTCACCATGTAAACTATATATCATGTGACTGCTATAAATGGTAGAATAGGTATATGTGTACATATACACACAGTCAGTCACACTCCCGGGTGACATGAACAATTAATTATACACACAGACAATGGGAAACTCTTCAATGTTGCTTTTTAAGGTGTATTCTGCCCTTATCAGCTTACTTTCTCTGTATTGTGAGACGTATGTTATGATAGTCTTTCTTATCCCATCACTAGTGAATGATACATCACCCTAAATAATAAATAATAATAAAATATAATGCTTTAAAAATTAATACAGTAGTTTACAATCATAGAATTCTTTTGAAAGGTAACCACGTCATAAAACTTGCTATTGTGTCTACTAATAACAATAGAACAGAGTAGAAATACTCTTAGCATTATGAAGGGTGCATTAAACATTACGTGTATGTATACATTCAGACAATCACAAAAAATTCAATTAGCATGAATCCTGACCACACATTCTTACATTTTAGCTTTTGAACCATGGAAACTAAACCAAGTATAACCTAGAATGTTCCCTGAATTAAAATTCTATTTTCCAGTTTATAAAAACAATGTTACTATTTCCCACATGATATATTTAAACAGATTTAATCACTATTTGATGCTGCCATAGTGCCATGTAGTAGAGTGATGATGTCTGTAACTATTAAAATAGCTACAATAGTTTATTACAATATCATTAGTCAGGTCATTGATCAATCTTATACTCCTGTTACATTCCAGCAATACATGCAATTTATTCGCCACCATATAAGCGAAGCTGTAAGGGAAACAAGTACGCTGCAATTGCTATGTGTCGATCACGTCCAAATGTACGTGTAGATAGAACGTACATGTACATGTATTGTAATTATGTGAATATTAACAAATTAATTACAGTTGTCCAAATGTTACAATAAGGTTTATAAAACAAATGCTTCGTAAGTGCCAGCTACATGTATAAGCGAAAAGTGTGGCACTGATTCAAAATATTAATAACAATCAATTTACGAGTGATAAAGGAAGGAAGGAAACTACAGCATTAAACATTTACCGATTTCCCTTGAAAGGCAGACTCAATAATGTTGCTACGAATGACACAGTTACTAATGTTACTAGTCTCGTTGATGGAGCTCGGCAGTCCCCCAGGGCACGAGGTATTATGATTGATCCCTTCATCAATCATTGACTGGGTCCTATTGAGACCTCTCATTAAAGACACCATTGCATCATAAGCAAAAGCATATCCATCCATCTCTGAGGGCCTTATCTAACAAAAATAATAATAATAACAATAATAATAACAAAATTATCATATAAACATAAGAAATCTCTCCTCTGCCCTTTCCTTCCTCTTTTAACATGAAACAGAATCCACAGCAAAGCTACAGTATGCTATACCTCTTTGTGCTGCCTTATTGTGATTGCTCTGTCTAGTGCTTCATTAATCTCTCGTTGCATACAACCAGAACTGTCGTCAGTTAGATACCAGTCCTCATTGTACCAGTCGTATATCAGCCAAGCATAGCCAGGATAGTATGTATTATTACGATGTGCCTATAGTACAGAAAGGGATGAACTAAATATATGTATACACTATATATGTACATGTCTATACATTAGAGGATTTGGTGTATGTGTGTGTGTGTGTGTGTGTGTGTACGTACTGTGCATAAAACCCTTCTTGCTGTATTCTGGTATGTGTTAAGGAAGAATACCCTAGCCTCTGTCCTCTAATATTGACACAAAGAAATGATTAACATTAAGAGAAACAAAGTAGACTTACAAATAAAAGATCAGCTGTGATATTTGTCTGCGGTCTCATGTGAACTGTGTCCAATACTTTGACGTTTTCTGATTTCAGTCTTAGCTTTAAGGCATACTCGACCTACAGGAGAAATAAGAGATCACGAGGGAGGTGAAAAAGGAGAGAAATGGCATCATGACAAGTGACATGAGTTTATTGACAAAGACTTCATTCATGAGCGAGAAGAGGGAGGAGAAATAAAGAAAGGGAGGGAGAGAAAGACAAAAGATTAAAAGGGGGTGGGAGTCTGGGAGAAAGGAAGATAAATACATATACAGCAGAGAGACAAAAGATTGAAAGGGGGTGGGTAAATACATATACACAAGGCATTAATAAAGAATTCAACGGTTTTGTTGTGCCCTCTTCATATGCTAATATGATTTGCTTTGATGAACATGTACAGATCCACCACAAACTATAAGCTACTGGTTAAAGCCATTCATGAATTCATTCCAATCCATATGATGTAATGAGAACTCAGATGAAGGAAGATTAACATCATAATGGAGGCAATAAAGCTGTCTTTAATGGAATGAGTCATGTCAATGAAGCATGAAAGTCCATTCAGACACTTGCAATTAATGTACACACACACATCTGTCTCCTTTTCCCCTAAATAACTAATTTTACTGTCTCTACTTTTCTCTCTCATTCCCTCCTTCCCTTTAGGGACATATTGTATATCAAATAGAACCACCATACATTTACAATTAAGGCATTCATGGTAATTGTAACAAGACATAGTGTTAACTTGTCAATGAATGATCCATTGGAATCAGTACACAAGCTAAGTTCAAGTGCTTAAAGCTAATGAATTAGCACCCATTCTCCTCTTCCTGCTTTCATTTCCCCTTTGATTTTTCTAAGTATTGTGCACATTTCTCTTGAGAAATGCCAAAGATCTACTGTTACTAAAATAAGAATAATTACATTACCTTCAAAAAATTATCATCGACTTCCGTGATCACTGAAATCTGACTCCACCCGTATTCTGAAATAACAGCAGCAAGCGATGAAACAAGGGAGACTCTTGATGGAAACACTTGTACATAGTTCTGCGAGTATCTCATTAAGCCAGGATTATACGATATCTAGTATTACAAAAAAAAAAATTAGAACTGCAACAATAATTATTATCTTTTAAATGCTTTTAGTTCAAAATTTCCTTCACCCTGTACTCAAATGATTATTGATGTATATAAATCATGTCATTTTGTATACTTCGTAGGCGAGAACCAAACAACAAAATAATAATAATAATAATTAGTACAAACTCTCTGTTTGGAATCAAAATCAGGCCTACATCCAAGAGAAGCCACCAGCTCACAGAGGCAGAGTATTGTTTGTATTGTTACACAGTAAATAACAACTAGCCAGTAGAGTACGGGCTAACACTCACAAGAGGTATTTTCAGGTATTCTGCAATCTCTAAGAGTGGAGATGTAGTTGAGGGACAACCACCGCCTATAATGGAGACAAAGGGAGACGGGCGAGACACGTATTGAAGAGTTTCTTGTAGCCCTCTTGAAGCATTGCACTATCAGAGAATGAGTAAATAAAGCGTGCTGTAAAATAAAGCAATACCTTATCGTCTAGGGGAGTTATGTTAAGTGAGTATTGAGGTAGTAGTTCGTTGGAAAAAGCTGCTATAGCGTCTGTGGCCCCAAGAAGAGCTGGTGTAGAATTGTACGTCCCTGAATTAGAATAGACGATGTATACATCGAGTCTTTGTGAAGCCGCGTTGAGAAGTAGAGAGGAGAGATACAACAAGAGAGCTGTAGCAGAGACCATATTACTATACTCTAACCCAATCACTGGAACAGTGGTACTGGATCTTTGCACACATGCAGTCGCTTCCTGCCACTTCAAAAGGTGGAGCTTTAAGAACTAAAACGTCTTTATTTCTAAATCTTTTAAAATAAAGGCCAGTAAATTTCTATTCTTTAGACTAGAAACATACAGCAAAAATATTCATTACTGTTTGACTTGACCTCAAAAAAATAGTAAACACTATCTATGATTACTTGATTAGTATTGATGACCACTATACTGAATGGCGCATAATCCCGGTTTATCCCAATACGCATGCTCAGAAGAACAAAACTCCTCCCTCCCACGTGTATATGCATATATGGAGAGGATTACAAAAAGATTAGCTTGTGACTTGTCTCAGCTACAGAATGTAATTAAACGTGATCCACATTCATACTTAGAAGAGGTATGAGCCACACTGTCAAGTTAAAATTAATAACAATATTTTTAGTTTCAGCTCCAGTTGCATCATTATACTGCTCTGTTGAAACTCCTTCTCTTAGATCCTGGGAATGAAGCAAAGCCGTTCCAAGAACTTGTCATTTTTCTTGCTCAAGTAATCTTGGCAATAATAGCATTACATTGGGGCGTGGTCTAAATGAAGCCCCTCCTATTATAATTAATCAACTGAAGCTAATTCATTATTGGAATTAGTGATCAATCCATTTATGTAATACACATAATTTGTTCTAATGGTATAGGTATGTCATTGCTATCCTCAGCAAATGTCGTCATATCCAAAGGAAATTGACTCATTGTTAACCGAGCATGCTTCAGTACTTCATCCTGACTTGAGAATGGTGAGATACAACAAATGCCTCTAAGACTATGTACTTTAGAATCTTGTACTTTAAACGTACTTTAGAATCCACATTACTTTGATGTATGGGAGGGGGAATTTTGTTTTCTGAACCCCATTAAAGCAATTTTTATAACTAATGGAACAGAACATGAGTATACAGTATAATGGTATGTACATATGATAACAGCTGCTGGTAGAATTCATCCTACTACTTGTACATGTACATGTACATTATATCGAGGCTTAATGCTTGGCGTGCATGGATATTAATGGACCACAGAACACAATTATTTAAAGCATTCTTATAATGAAATCAAGTTTTGATTGAGAGAAAGTAAATTTGATTGAGAGAAAATGGCAAATCGTTTTTGACTCTTTACATATATTGTAGTATCATTGTGTAAATGATAGCATGAGTTATGAATGTACTGTACATGTACGTGTGTGTGTGTGTGTGTGTGTGTGTGTGTGTGTGTGTGTGTGTGTGTGTGTGTGTGTGTGTGTGTGTGTGTAGCCAATTTCTCCTATACCACAATAGGGTAGCCTTTTTTTATGTGCCAAATTATTTTACTACTAGAATGAAGTAATTGTTTTTTAAATGTATTTATAAAGCATACATGTATGATGCTTCATGGTTTGATGATAGGTTTTCCATTTGTGTGTTCATACATGTAGTGTTACTAATCTTATATTGTAATTGTGTTATATTGTAGGCACTCTTCAAATCATTGACAATAATGAGAAATAAAGATCTGATCTCACCAGAGAGGTATACTGTATGATATGGCTCCTGTCCCTCACTCTCTCTCTCTCTCTCTCTCTCTCTCTCTCTCTCTCTCTCTCTCTCTCTCTCTCTCTCTCTCTCTCTCTCTCTCTCCTCTCTCCCTCTCTCTCCTTTCCCTCTCTAAGGTTACTAGAGTTATGTTTCATTCTCTTTCGTTGCCAAGACAAGCTATTAAGATCGGTATAATAATAAAATGCATGTAAATAATAATAATAATGATAATAATAATAATAATAATAATAATAATAATAATAATAATAATAATAATAATAATAATAATAATAATAATAATAATAATAATAATAATAATAATAATAATAATAATAATAATAATAATAATAATAATAATAATAATAATAATAATAATAATAATAATAATAATAATAATAATAATAATAATAACAAATGAAGATAGGCACATGCACATTGTTGGCTTGGCTTGTTTGCCAATGATTGTCGTTGACAGGAAATTGTAATTTACTATTAACCTACTGTGTACTCTATGTAGTATGACTTGTTGTAATGTTTATGTACATAAATATACTATAATATTGTATAATGGACTGTCCTAATGCAATATTCTCTC